CTATTTTTTAAAAATTAATTAAATTGTATTTTTTCCATCACCATTTATCCCCCTATGCCCTCTTCCAACCCCCACCCTTCCCTGCAATCACCACACTGTTGTCCATGAGTTCTCTCTCTCTTTTTTTTTTTTTTTCTTTTTTGCTCAATCCCTCCACTCTCCCCTTCCCCACCCTCCCACCAGAGCTGTCTACCTGCTCTCTCTCTTTGAGTCTGTCTCTATTTTGCTTGGTAGTTCAGTTTCTTCATTAAATTCCACATATGAGTGAAATCATATGGTACTTGTCTTTCTCTGACTGGCTTCTTTTTATTTTTTTTTTAAAAACTGGAGCATCAGAATTTCTGATCCTTGGATACATACTTAATGGGTAAAATATTTTATAAGAAGCTTGGGGTAGACCTGTCTTATATTGACTTATGTTTTATAATGAACATTATTTCTTGAGCTTTTAGATATTCCCCACTGGCCCTGGCTGTATAACTTAACAATGGGAAAAGTGACATCTACAGACCATTCTTAGGGTATCTGGAGTATGAAGGCCCAGTTCAAACATTTTTGTATAATCTCAGTTCTACATATGATCTCATCTTTAGTTTGCTTTATAAATTTTTCTACAGGACGTATTTTTTTTTAATAGTTTGTCAGACTTTTTTTTATTGCGACATATAATTGATATAACAGTATATTAGTTCTCTGTATACTATGTAATGATTTTATGTTTGTACATATTGTTTACCACATGTTCACAATAAATCTAGTTAACATCCATCATCACACAGTTACACACATTTTCTTGTGATGAGAACTTTTAAAATCTATTCTCTTAGCAACTTTTAAGTATGTAATATGGCATTACTAACTATAATCACCATGCTATATATCACATCCCTTGACTTTTTTTTTTAACCAGGAGTTTGTACTTTTTGACCCCTCCACCAGTTTACCCACCAACCCCCCACCTCTGGCAACCATCTATTTGTTCTCTGTATCTATGAGTTGGGTTTTTAAATTTAAAATAATTTTTAGATTCCACATATAAATGAGATCATACTGTACTTGTCTTTCTGTCTGACTTATTTCACCTACATGTGATTCATCCATGTTTTTGCAAATGGCTAGATTTCATTATTTTTTATGGCTGAATAACATACTGATAGTATATATATATATATATATATACCTCCTTTTGTTCTATCTTAAATTCTTAATTTCATTCACCCATGGATATTTAGGTTGCTTCTATGTCTCGTCTACTGTAAATAGTACTGCAATGAACATATGGGTACATACATTTTTTTTGAGTTAGGCTTTTTGTTTTCTTTGGATAAATATCCATAAGTGGGACGGTTGTATCATATGGTAGTTCTGTATTTAATTTTTTGAAGAACCTTCTTACTGTTTTCCATAGTGGCTGCACCAATTAATTTTTCCATCAACAGTGCACAAGTGTTCCCCTTTTCTTCATATCCTCCCAAACACTTGTTATTTCTTTTCTTTTGGATAACAGCCATTCTAACAAGTGTTAGGAGATACCTCATTGTGGTTTTGATTTGCATTTCCTGACTAGTGATATTAAGCATATTTTCATGTACCTATTGGCTTCTTTGAAAACATGTCTATTAAGATCCTGTTCCTGTTTTTTAAATGGATTGCTTGATTTTTTTGCTATTGAGTTGTATGAATTCTTCATGTATTTTGGATATCAACTTCTTACCAAGTATATGACTTGCAAATATTTTCTCCTATTCTGTAGGTTGCCTTTCCATTTTGTTGATGATTTCTTTTTCTGTGCAGAAACTTTTTCATTTGATATAGTCTTACTTGTTTATTTTTGCTTTTATTTTTTTTGCTTTTGATTTGAAATTTTTAAAAAATCCTTAATTTAATGTAGGTCTGCTTGCCTAGAGCATATATTGTTCTTCCTACAGTTGCTCTTCCAATCATATATATAGTGCTTTTCTTAGTATAGTATCATCAACATAGGGAAGCAGCACATCTCTGCTTGATTGAACTCCAATTTCCCCGTGGCTCATCCAACTCCGTTTGTCTTCTCTTCTTTTTTATTTAGTCTGTTTCCCCCAGTGTCTCAATATCCTATAGAGTCTCCCCGCCAATTCCCTCAGTCCAATAATTTTATTTTTACAAATTAACTCATATGTTTTACCTCTCCATAGTAATTAATTCTGCTTTTGATCATTGCTCTGTAACATAAATAAAAAATCGAACATATTTGTGAAATTTTACTTTAATAATAAATGGGTTTATTATTTACTTTAATAATAAACATTTTGAGCATTGATAATATTTCTTGTACAATACCAAGGCAATCAGTGAAGTAGGTGGTTAGATGGGATTTATTTTACCAATATTACTACCGAATTTCATTCAAATACTGATTTTAAAAAAGAAAGAAAATTCTTTGTTCCAGTTTTCTGTTGTAATTGTCATCTATTCTTTAGTATGTTAGGGACTGAAATAGAATATTTTAAACTAGAACATATTTTAAACCCAACTGTTACCTCTAGCATGGGAACTGTGAATCTGTGAGTTAAAAAATACTAAATTTTGAAATTTTTAGGTGACAGACTATGTTCTACATTTTATTGAATAGAGAGAAGAACAGAAGATCTGGCCCAAAGTACTACAATTTTGTTAGCTAGTTTGTAATATTGAAATATGTAAACATTCTTCCATTTCAAAGATAAGAAATATCATCCAAAGCCACATATACACAAATTTTAATTATCCATGCTGCTTTTGTCTTGGCCATGCTTAATAATTAATGGTTTGCATCCAACTTCAAGTTGAAAGGCTCTCTATATACTAGTCCAGAAGTAGAAAACTGTTTACATTTGGCCTGACATGTTCTTCTGCACAGTGTTTTAGAATGTTTGGATTAATTTACAAATTAGGGAGCTTCATATAAAATGCTCATGTTATGTTTCTCTTGAAAATTATGGAAGAACTGGCAATATAGTACAATAATTGGCTTGAGCTGAACAGTAGGGCGTCAGTCTTAGACAAGACATGCATACTCTAGTTTGAAGAAGTCCCCACCTGGTTTCCTTTACTTACAGGCATATCTTTTTGCCTCCTGTAAGAACTTGAGCTTAGAATATTTGGTTTATTATTATTATAACATTCGAGTAAGGAAATTGTAACCACATCAGTTAAATTATTTTTTGACCTTAAATAAGAGTCAAGAGATAATTAATGGCAGAGCCTGGATTATAATCCAGCTCACTCCACTATCAATTCATTAATACTAACTATAAGATAGAAAATTTGTCATGTTTTCTTGGTGTGATCCCTTCTAGTTCTTATCTATAATATTTGGTTTGTATAGTAGTTAAGTTGAAAATAATAATACTGATAATATATATGATTGTTGGAAAGGTTAAATATAATTTGTCATTGTCAGGTTCATATCTGCAGAGAAATTTTAACCATTTCTAACAATACCTTTCTTAAGAACTGGTATATTTTCATTTTTTATATTTTATTTAAAGTGGTAATGTGTGTTTTTAAAAGTTATATATTTTTTTAAAGTTTTTATCAAATGTATTGAGGTGATATTGGTTAATAGGATTATATTAGCTTTTTCTGACTGACTTATTTCACTTAGCATAATACTCTCAAGATCCACCCATGTTGTCACAAATGTCAGTATTTCATCTTTTCTTATGGCTGAGTAGTATTCCATTATGTACATGTACCACATCTTCTTTATCCAGTCCTCTATTGCAGGACACTTTGGTTGTCTCCATGTCTTGGCCACCACGAATAGTGCTGCAATGAACATAGGGGTGCATGTATCTTTACGAATACATGTTTTCAAGTTTTTGAGGTAGATACCCAGGAAAAGGATTGTTGAGTCATATGATAACTTTATTCTTAATTTTTTGAGGTACTGCCAGACTGTTTTCCATAGTGGCTGTACCAGTTTACATTCCCACCAGCAGTGAATGTGAGAGTCCCTTTTCTCTAAAACCTCTCCAATATCTCTTCTTGTCTTGTTGATAACAGCCATTCTGACATGTGGTAACATGTTTTAATGAACTTCTTGTTTGGGATTAACATGGCTTTTGTGGAATAGTGTTGGTATTCAGTATGTTGATAAACTTGCATATAAGTTATTCTTGTGTCAGGCACTTTGTGTGTATGTGTGTTGTGCCAACGACCATGCCAAGTGTAGTGAGGAGAACTACACCAATCGTAATGCCAAGGATCATGGCCAGGGAGGTTCACTCTAGATCTGGGGACAGTCTGAAGGAAAAAAGTAAAGCCAAAGAAGGATGAGACATTTCCTTTATTTGGCTGTGGCAGGCCAAATGTACAAGATAGACAAACCCACACTCTTTTTCCCGGTGGCAGCCAGCTGGGCATAAATGGGCGACACATGGCACTCCAGGAAACAATCTGACCTGGGGGAACAAAACTGCACCTACAAACTGCACCTCTGAAAGTCCTGGGACAGTCTTATAGCAACCAGGACAATAGTGGCTCTCAGCCAATGATGGGTCAGACATTAGTCAACTAACACAGCATCTGTTACGACTATGCTATATCATGTTTACGTAACTGGGCCTTGGCCAGGAGAAGGTGATGAGAAAGCCTAAGTGTTTTCACTTTCCCTACTGTGCTTGTTTGTGTATGCTACAGTTTTGAAAGTATTAACAAGAAAAATTTATGTTATAGAGTATTAAAGTAAAATTTGATTTACATTTAATATCATCTGATTTTATATTATTTCTAGTAAAAACAGTTTATAAATAGTCAAAAACAATAAAAATGAGAAAATGAAGATGTGTGTTTATTAGCATAGTAAAATTTAACTCTCATAGAACTGAAGTGAGAATAACAAAATAATATAATACCACTGATTAATGTCTGGAAGGGTCACAATAAGTTTTTATCTTAAATGTTTTTCTTCTTCAGAACTTTAGAGTTTTATTATGTTAACTTTAAAATGAGTGTTTAACTTAGTTTTATTTTTTCAGAGCACCTTCAAGTTTAAATCTGAGAGTGATATTCATTTGGCTGAACATCATAAACAGGTTCTGTATGATGGAAAACTTGCAAGTAGTATTGCATTTACATATAATGCTAAGGCCACTGATGCTCAGCTATGCCTGGAATCCTCACCAAAGGAAAATGCATCGATTTTTGTGCATTCCCCACATGCCCTAATGCTCCAGGTGGGTGAATAGTAACTTAGTTTTTATGTTCTCATCCTGGTTGACAGTATCTTTATTTTACATATTAAGCATTGCTTATATATAAATCTACAACTGCTGTTTGTTTTTCTTTTTGGTTTTCTAGTTCTTTGACTTTTTTTGCCTTCTCCCCCTTTTTGGGCAATATGCTTTATCTTGGATTTGTCTCCTTAATAGGATAACTGCCATTTCTGATGTCTTGTATGTTCTAGCCTTTGAAATAAAATCAGTTGTTGATTACCTGAACAGATAGTTGTTAATATAAAAATATACTTTGGTTTAAGAACAGTAGTGTATATCTTCCTAACATTAAATTACCTGAGTATCTTTAAATCCATTATTTCCTACTATAAAATATTTCTTGGTTTTTAGTCCCATATTTTCAGTGTAAAAAAATCTCTCAATTTAAGATTTCAAATTTATATTTTATATGCATGTCAAAAGTTATATAATTAAAGGTTTTTAAAATGTCTAACTAATGTTATTTAATTCTCTTTCAAAGTTATTTGTTACAAGGAAGTAATGATAACGTTATGCTTCAGAAATGTAAACAACACTTTTGTTTTCTGAATATAGGATGTGAAAGCTATAGTAACACATTCAATTCATAGTGCAATTCATTCAATTGGAGGGATTCAAGTGCTTTTCCCACTTTTTGCCCAACTGGACAACCGGCAGCTCAATGATAGTCAAGTGGAAACAACTGTCTGGTAAGTTTTCTTTGAATGTGTAATTTCTTATAGTTTTTAATACTTAGATTACACCTGGTATACTCGATGTTGTATAAAATGTATTATAATATTTGGTTTTTATTCTTTAAGTTCTAATAAAAGTTTCTTTAGGAGTAAGGCAGATATATATTTATATAATATAAAAATATTCTGACTCTGAGGTTCTTATAACCATAAAAGAGTTACTTCATAATAAATAAAATTCTTACCAGATGTAACACAATGATTACAATATGCAGTTGAGGAAAAATATTAGTCCCAACCTTATCCTTTGCAAATGCTCATGGTTTGGATTGTCCATGAAATCCTCCTGTCAGGCTAAATAAAATAACTATGGTAAAGTTTATTTTGAAGAATAATATTTAATAACAATTACATAATTTATATTTTAAATACCGGTATTATTTTATAATGCTATTATCATAAGACTAGCACAGCATTAATTGATATTAGCTTTTCTTTATATGTAGTTCATCTTTGAGAGCCCAACATCTAACCAGTGGCATATCTATGTCTATAAAAAATTCAGTATCTTCTAATTAGGTTACTTTCTGTTTTTGTAACTTCCCTTCTTTTTCTTAATAAACATCTCATTCATAAAACTCTGACTTAATCTTATATCTTAGAATCATACATGTAAGAAGTTAAATGTGAATTTTGACAGCTATTTTTACTGTGTACATTGCTATGTTTAAAGAATTTAAGGGGAAACTTTTATAGGTATACATTAATCTCTACTTCAAAAGTAGTATAGGAATGCTTCATTATTATGCACACATATACATGAAATCCTTCATATTTGAATTAATGAAAAAACTAGTGAATGAAGCAAAGATGGTAAAATTTAAAGTCCACTGAAGTGTAACATGATTTTCTCATATTTATTATCTAACTTGGCTATTAACAAAATTCTATTGTATTATTGCTATTAATAGTGTCCCTGTGTTGGGACTGTCTTTATATAAAGTATAAATATAAATATAAATATAAATGGGATCTGTACATTAAGAAAATTCAGCTCCTATCCATGGGTCATGCCTTCTTTCATATCAATGCAGTATAAAGTTTGAGGTTTTGAAATGAAAAGCTATGAAGTGAAATGGAATCCTGAGGTCATGCCCTGTTATCATACCACTTTGCTATGAGATCTTACATAATTCCATTGGGAGGCAGATCAGCCTTTTGGAAAAATAAAACTTTAAATTCCAGTCCCGGATTTGAATTAAAAATGTTTTGTCTTTATCATCTAGGTGATCCAGTACACTTTATGATCAGTAATTAAAAACTTAGTAAGTGCTATGAAAAAAGTTGGAAATGAAGTAGCAGTAAAAAACTGTGCAATTTTAACATTCCTTATGAATTGAAACTAAGTCCATAATTATTTTAACCTGAAAAGGAATTTTTTTTTGCTTGAGAAAGAAAAATTAGGAAGATTATACAGTTTGAAATGTTATAACTAAATCCACAATAATTTATATCTTTATGAATAGCTATTATAAAATCTTAGTGCTAAAATCATATTTAACAGGTTATCTGGTCCATTCATCCAAGGCACATGGTTATTTTTCACTGCCTGTCATTAAAACTCATTTTAGTGTTTATATTGTATTTTGGTATTTAAATTGTATTTACTTTATTATGGGTATAAAAGACAGTATAAGGGTTCAGTGTTCTGTTTTTCAGTTTGATTTGTTTGGAGTTTTTTATCATTCTTTTAAATTTTTTCCAGTAATAAATAAGATCAACTTTTTCAGTGATATGTGTGTTCTTAGTTTATAACCAATAGAGAACATATAAGAATCACTCTCCTTTTTAATAATAAGACATACTCGATTCCAAGCTACCCTGTGATTCATTTATGTGCTTTTCTGAATTCTTACCAGTTGCAACATAGTTACTATTTTTAATTAATTGTGTCAAAAGCCTGTGATGTTCTGAGTTTCACTTCATTGTGGACAGTTGTGTGTATCAGTAATACAATCTTTTGTCATTTAAAGTTTTGAAGGTGAACATTGTAGACAAATGTGTGCATAAGTGATATGACCTTTGTTTTTTAAAATGTTAAAGGCAAGTTGTTAAATGGTATTTCTCCCTCCATTTGAAGAACACAGATTCTTAGCTATAAATAGGGCAAGGATTGATATAATTTCATATTTTCTGGGGAAATCATAAATCCATATAGGTGAATGAAACCTTGAAATAGGCTGTATCTTATTTTTGGTCAGCATAAATTGTTGTAGGGGAATGAGAATCTATTTGAAGTTTCTCAATCTTCCATAGAAAATTCAATAGACTTTTTTTGAAAATTTGTTTGCATAAGAAATACATGACAAGAATTGCAATATTATCTAATTCTTAATTACTTTTTGGAGAAATTGAGCAAAGCTCTAAAATAAGCTAATTCTTTGCCTTCTATGTTTCAAGTTGAGGCATTTTAGGTTCCATGTACTTTCCTCCACTCAGTAGTCATTTTTAATGAAATTTTTTAATGTTTCTGTGACTTAACTTTTGTTGATACTACTATACCATTGTTATAAACTTTGATGAGTTTTACTCTAATTAAGGGGCTTAGTATTAAAATAATTTATTGAAATAATAGTCTTATTCCCTGGAGCCTTTAAAAGTAAGCTTTATTTGTGTAAGAGAATTTTTGTGGCTTGTTTTTATCATGAAGGTTTTGCATACTATAGCTGTTATATGTGTGCCAGACTTGGGTTCAAATCCTGTTTACCATTTCTCATTAGTGTAACTCTGAGTTTGTTATTACCTTTTTTGTGTTTCAGTTTTCACCATTATAAGATAGTTTACTGGATTATTTAGCTTAATTGCGATAAAATATATAGATCGACGTACTAAGCACTCAGTGCATTGTGGTTTTGTTATTATGATAGAGGGCTAGGTGATCTATAAGATTATCTCAAATACTACAGTTTCATATTAAAAGTATTAAATATCACCTCTCTTAAGAATGGGTTGTTATAACAGGGGCCATGTTACTTTATATTTTAACTTCTATCAGTGATATTATTTACAATTGAGAATTACTTAGTTAAGTAGGACTTTTATTTTGAATTTTAGCTGTAGTGATGAAAACTGATTTTGAACTATCTTCTCCATTTTCTAGGTAGAGTGGCTTAAGATCAAGAAATTAGTTTACTCAAGTTTTGAACAGAGTGAAACAAATAACACCAGGCCACACAAAGCTTGGACTAGTTTAAGATGATTTTGTATAGCCGTCCTCTTACTCTAGATCTTCAAGAATAACATTTTTTAGTTTTTTCTTTTAACATGTAGTTAGCTCTTAGCATAACACAAAAAAGTTAACCAACAAAGGAATAGATAAATACTGTTGAACTGAGTTAGCTAGCATGTGGCAACACATACAGTATTTTTTAAATGATCTGTTTTTGAATAACTATATGGGGCCAATATGTAGTCAGTGTTAGGATTTTATTCTGTTCATAATGATTCTCAAGTAGCATGATCACCTTGAGTAATTCTGCCAAGTGATCAAAGCTATTTGGTTGTTTTTCCATTCCTTGGGGACTAGTACTACTTTGTATTGGACTGGTTGATCTCTTTCAGTCCAGTGAATATTGAGAGCAGTAACAATGCAAATTGCCTTTCACTAGACCTTTAATAAATACTTAATAACTAAAAGAATGAGCAGATGATTAATAAGTTATTTCAAGAAGCTAACTAATTGTGAAGTAATCATATCTTTTGTATTTTATGTCTAAGAGTGACTCAATAAGTGAGAAATTTTATTTTCCTTTGATTTGGATGATCATATGCATTGAATGCAAATTACATATTCTTCTGAAATTTAGCCTATATCCCTTCTTTTTAAGAATGTATGTTATTAAATTCTTTGGGTGATACAAAACAGAATAAATCTTCCTCATTGTGTGACTTATGAATTTTCTTTGAAAAAATATGTTTTTTGGATGAAGGTATGAATAGACATTTTTATGTTAAGCAATTAAAAATTCATGAAGCCCAGGCCAGTGTAGCTAAGTGGTTAGAACGTTGGGCCTAAGGGTCATGGCTTCACTTCCTGGTCAAGGGCAGGTACCTGGGTTGCAGGTTCAGTACCTGCCCCATGTTGGGGTGTCTATGGGAGGCAACGTGTCTCTCTCAAATGGATGTCTCTCCCACCTTCTTTCTCTCTCTCTGTCTCTCTATGTCTCTCTCTGTCTCTCTGTCTCTCTCTGTCTCTCTCTCTCTCTTCCACCCTCCCTCCCTTCCTCCTTCCCTTCCTTCTACTCTATCTAAAATCTTCAGGTGAGGCCCGGCCGGGTGTGGCTCAGCAATTGAGTGTTGACCTAGGTTCCAGGAGATCATGGTTCAATTCCAGGTCGGGGCACATGACTGGGTTGCGGGCTCAATCCCCAGTGTGGGGCCTGCAGGAGGCAGCTGATCAATGACTCTCTCATCATTGACGTTTCTCTCTCTCTCTCTCCCTCTCCCTTCCTCTCTCTGAAATCAATAAAAATATATATTTTAAAAATAAATAAATAAAATCTTCAGGTGAGAATTAACAAAACAAACAAAAAATACATGAAAAGGGTAGTTCTCATTAGAGATAGTGTGATGTGTTGAGCAGGTTCTCTTTGGGTGTCAGGCGGATTAAGACGCAAACTGATATTCTGTTATATACTATCTCATTTTAGGAGACAGGGTTGTCCCAGGATGTGTAGTAGTAGTAGTTGTCGCACATGGTGTTTACTGAGTACTCACTATGTGTCAGTCACTGTTTGTAATTGTGTTATTTTATCTAATCATATTCAGCTGATGAGGGAGGGAAAAACTAAGTAACTTGCTCAAGGTCCCAGAGACCCAAGTGTCAGAATAAAACCAGGGCACTATTCCTGAAAGACTGACTCCATAGCCCTCACTGGAAATCACTGTGGACAACACTGAGAGTCAGTTTTGCCAGCTGTGGAATAATTTTAATAATACCAACTTTATTTTATTGT